AATCAAAGAGTACCGCTTGATCTGATTGAGCTAATTTGCAATTTGAAACGACTTCAGATGGAACGATTATATGTGTAAGCTTAGCGTCTGATTAATAGGCACAACCTGCATCGGAAAATCGCAAATCTGTATTTCCGATTCGCGCCACTTGTCGATTCCTGAGTATCGACAAGTAATCTAACAATATAATAAAAGATACTTGAGGCGATCTTTATGATCTGTGATAATTACCAATTTGTCCAAAGTATTGCAAGAAGTCTGATGTTACACGAAAAAATTTAATTACCGTAATCTTGAATAATTATGGAATAAGACCGTAAACGTATTTATGAGTTACATCCACGATATCTTGGCCATCCGCTACCTTTTTGACGAGGGTAAAATCTGCCGTGTCGCTTTTTATCCTTTTATATCTTGCGCAGAAATGTTCACGTGCAAAGTATACAAGGCATCGGCTGCCGTTGCTGTCCCAATTGTCGCAGAATCTTAAATTAAAGCTGTTTTGACGTGCTGCGCAAGCCGAAAAATTATGAACCTCATTATGAACCGTGCAACGCAGAAAACATCTCCGCGTTTTCTCAAATACTTGCCCACTTCCACGAAGCGTTTTCAATCTTCGGCCGCTCGTAAATTCGATGCTCCGGCGAGAGATCGGAGATAGCTCCGATCGCGCGCCAGCGGTAAACAGATTAATATTAATAATAGCGGGGCGGCGAAATGATAGACAGTGCCGTTTTTTCGTGTATCTGGGAACGGAAGGCCATTTTTCACAATCTTATTTGTGTCTCAGTTGCGAAAATAATCCGAGGGTGAAAAATGAAAATTTCGCCGATGTGTTACGACTCTCCGATATAAAATTAGATCGGCGGTGCTCTCGTGCAACATCGCGGACTCTTTTGCCACGGGCATGATAAGCTCTTGTCTTAATGCTTGTAAATCGTTCCATAATCGATAAGTTACGATTTACGGCCAATAAGTAAAGGAAGAATCGATTGCCTCTTCGGCGAACCGGAGTGAAACTTATTATCACTGGCGCGGCGTGAGTTTGGCAGCATTAATTTCGATACGCCCGCTCTCTCTCTCTCTCTCTCTCTCTCTCTCTCTCTCTCTCTCCCCCTTTCCCATCGCCGTTATACATATTTTACGCGGCGCTTATGATGTGCGACATAAGTTATGTCTCGTGGAGGAGTATAACAGGGTACGGAGAAAAAAATCGACGCGTTAAGTGGTTAAAAAGTCGGTGTGCGCGCTCGCAATGGCACGTAATTTGGGGTGTTTTGGTGCACCCGAGAGAGCCGCAGATGCAGCAATAATGAATGATAATGGATTGCCAATAAATAATCGTAACGAGAGATAATTTATAACCTGAATAGGTCCTTGTACGTGTCCAAAGCGATTAAGTCCATACCGAGTATATCAGGACGATGGACTAATTGTAAGGTTGATGAATGATTATTACAATAAACATCGTAATGCAGTGTAATTTGCCAGTCCACTTTAGATCAGTCAAATATACTTTCCGAAATTAAGAACAAGATACACGAGATAATTAATATCAGAAGCAAATAATGAGTTAAAGGATGAGAGAGAGAGAGAGAGGGGGGAGAGAAAGATGTATAACTTGAGAATCACAGAAGTCATAAATCAGAATCGGTGACGTACGATCTCCTTTCGCTCGAAGGAAGGCTTCCTGAAAGCGTATATCAGCTACTCTTCGAATAAATACTCTCTCATTTTCAATGCCGTCTTTGAAAGGCAAGATTCCGTAATCCTGATTAATATCCTTTGAATTATGTAGCCTATGTTTAAAAGATTAACGAATAAGAGTGTCATTGGCTTTAGCCAATCAGTGTATTATTTGCGGCTCCATTATTTTTGTATTATACATTAACAATACTTATCACCACGATCATCTTTAGTCACGATTGAAACGTTCCGCGCATAAAGCGTGAGCTAAGATCTACTTTAGATCTACAATTTCGCATTTATAACGCGAAGCTTGCAAATCTGCAGGCTTATCTTTTTCTAGGCTATTCAGTCACAAGGTTCAAGTTCTCCCAATCGTTGTCGGAGGCAAGTAAGACGGATTACCCGGGCAGGAAAGCGACCCGCGATAAAAACAAGTCGCCGAGCACATGCACCGAGTGCGCACCGCTTAATACCGTACCGCGTGCGTAGCAGACGATTTAGAAACGCGGCGGACAGACGGTTCACTCGAACAGCTGGAGCAATCATTTCCAATGACGCGGTTCGATTGAAAGCAGTATGCTCGCGCGCCGAGAAATCCGCTCGACTGCCAGATGAGGAAGAGACTCGCGCTGACTCCGGTATACGCGGTGCGAGTTTTGCGCATCTCGCATTCTAAGTCCTTGCATACGTAATAAGAAAGACCGTAGTGTCAAATACTTAATACGATCAAATGAGACGTTTCTGCAGTCTTCCTAGAGTTCCTAGACTGATCAGGCTTCACGACAGCGCGCGCTTCGCACGCATGCTCCGGACGTTCCAAAGATTGGAACGGTATCAAAAGTCTATATGCGTGCCCGATGAGCGGTATTTATATTCTTTAAACCCTCCGAGATTTATGTGCCGCGGGTTAGCACCTCGTTACCGTTTGGATAAGAATCTGTTGTTCAATGTGCATTCGCTAAGAGAACATACCGAGGGTGACTTATGGAAACGGGCAGGGGCACGTCATTTATTCACGCCGTGGTTTGCAGCACGCTCTTACACGTTACTCGACCTTTCAATAACGATTTCTATCTTGTCCGGTTTATCCAGTTCATCTGGCCTATGGTTCACGCATAAGGAAAGATATAAGTGATTATCTACTGAAGTATGCAATATGCAATTTAAATAAGAGCTGGAAGAACGTTTCAAATATATTAACAAACTAGTAGTCGCCTCGAGCGTTATTCTACTAAGTACTCTATCGTAATAAATTGCTACTCTGCTAAAACAAAGTGATTACTATAATTACATGCACAGAAAAAATTGATGTATTAACAGCATTAGATCTAATTGGCAATAATCTTGTTAATTCAATAACAGTATTAAGTCCGGTTGTTCCAATTTATTAATAAACTAACTAATAGTTAAATCATATGTCTATCCTTGTTTTATTTAAAGAAAAAACAAAGACACATATATGATTTAACTATTAGTTAGTTTACCAATAGGTTGGAACAACCGGCTCTTAGTGAAACAAATATTTATTTTATTAAAACAAAAGCATGACGTATTAATAAGAATTAATAAGATTATTTCCAAAACTAATAATGTTAATAAATTATTTTTTTTCCGTGTATTATACATGTAGCAATTATATGTAATTGCTACATATAATACATGTATAAAGCAATTATATGTAATTGCTTTAATATTTCCATACACGATAAATGACGTTCGTGACTGACTATGTCGATAGCAATTTTTTAAGATATCAACGAGTATATTCGACAGTGGGGGGTCTCCGACTGTCGAGCAAAATTTCCGGGGAAACATTGTTCATTTATACCCGAAGAAACATCTTCGCCGCATCGCCAATATAATTAAATTGGCGATGCGGCGAAATAAATCATTCCCGCGTATTTATCCGCAAAAAAGTGTAGCCGCCGAAAAGTAGATTCTTCTTGTAAATTATAATGAGCCCTAACACACACCCGGCAATTCATCAGTAACCCCGGCAGCGCACGCGATGGTACCCCGCTGGGTCGAATCCGCGTCTTTTACTCCTCGCCTCACCTTCGTCGTATAAATTACGTTCCTTCGCGCAGTATTGAATGGTGTAAAAGGTGGTTCTCTTCATAAATGCGGCATTCACTTATTGTTGGATCAATTTTTCCAAAAACTGTTCGAGAGACTTGTAAATGGGGAAAAATCGATCCCGCCGACGACGAGCGGCGAGATGAATGCAGAAAGACGGCGGAGGCCAAAGTACAGAGGAAGGGAAATTATTCAAATTCCGTTTGGATGGCAGTTTAATCGCGTGATGTTCGCCACGCAAGTACGTAGACATTAAAGCCCCCGAAATTGCATTGGCCGAGCTGAATACGCCATTTTTGCGTGGCCTCCTTGGTGGCCTCACCTCTGTCCACGGCGACCAATCGCGATCGGTAGCTTAAAAAACGGTACCCGAGAGGTATGCTCGGTGTCGATAAGTATGTGGAGGGAGAGACACACTTCCGGGGAGGCTACACCTGTTACACCGATACCATAAGGCGACCACCTAACGCGGACGATATTCCGATTACTGGCTGTGTGAAAATTAATGACGGTGTAATAAATAATATATCGCCGTATTATTATTAATATCGCGGGAAAAGAGGGCACAATCAGGCCGAGGCCGTAATCATACATCCCCCGGTTTCTTTTATGGCTCGAGATAATTATATATATTCGTCAGAGTGAGAAGAGATTGAACCACTGCCGTCGCGCAATGCTGACCGTATTTTTATGATAATATTTCATTACATGTGCATAAAAAGAAATAAGAAATAAAGAATTTCATAACACCACGATTTCGTGTTCCCTTACACCCTGGATTGTGAGTTCCAACTTTAATTAATATCATTACTGTTTCGCGGTGCACAAATGTTGCGAATAATAATACTTGAGGCTTCTCTGTTCTCGCAACGGTAGAACGGGAAGAACAATAATTCGTGAGAGGAACAGTCCGCGGAGCCATGCGCAATTACACGAGTGACGTCGAGTATAGCGCATTCAAGATTGATCGCGGCGATGAATACCGCTTGTGATTCACGCAGCGACGAGCTAAATACAGGAGAATGAGCCATATAAATCCGCGTCCGCCGCTGCGGAAGTTTTTGCTGCTTGATTTGGACCAGCTGGCAAGAGGATTGTAACGGAAGGCGCAGTGTCGGAAATCATTAATGTCCAGCAACTAAACGTTCGCGCGGTGACTTGCCGCAACGTCTCCACTCTCCGCGCGGTAGACGACTTCATAACTCATAACAAAAGAAATTTTGCAGGAACGTTACCGTGGATGTCGTTGACGCATATGTGAAGATCCTCTCGAAAGATAGGCGAGTCGAAGTTACACTGGCACGTGCAGGAACTGTTTGGCACAAGCAGGCTCGAGCTCGAGGAACTCCGAGAGTAAGGACTGGCGGTCCCGCTGCTAAGCACTGTACAGGCTTCCGTGCAAGAACCTGTAACATATATATTTCATAAATAATAAATATGTATTATAGAAGCTCAATATATAAAAAATTCAATTTAATTCAGACAATAAGAGCTGAACGTGATATTTAGCCGCTAAAATTTATTTTACAAAGTTAATAATTACTAACAAGTCAAAAATACATAACGTACGTTTACATACGTAACATATAAACATACGTTAATGCGTACGTTTATATACATATAAATTTCAGTTTTAGTAATATATGTTCGTACAGTTACATTATACCGTGTTTGTTAATTTAAAATAAAATTCGAGATTTCGGCCGAGATAATTCCCTCCAAATGTATAATCCATTTATAAAACCATTCGAATACACATCGATTTATATTTCAACATGTTTTAAGTATCTGATCTGATATCTACGATATAATACATTATCATTTATTAATTGGATTTTACAACTGTCTTTTCCGTACTTTATCTCGTTCAACTTGTAGCTTTGGTTTTTCTACTTTTAATTGATACTGTGTTCGTGTCACGCGTTAAAATACACCATCGTACATTAACGGTCAATTAACCAATCCTTCAAGAATCGGTAACTTGTTCGTGTGCCAAACGTGTTTCGCAGGATCTTTTAGTAACGCGAGGCTCTCGAAGATGCGACGTATAGCCCGTCGGTTGAAATTCACGTGTTCCGATCCTCAGGACGTGTCGTATAATCCAGCCGAGCAAGGACAGGTCGGACAGCTGTCAAACCGTTACATCGTAATTTCACGGTTAATCCGTTACGAACGTCTTTTTATTTCGCGCAGCGGTTGTGTCACGATTTCGCGCAAAATCGTCCTGTTCGGCACTCTCGAACCGTTTTGCTTCCGCGTACCGGAAAATCACTCGGAGGAATTTGCGCCATATCACCGGCGCGAATCGCGAAGGCGCGCTTTACGAGGCGCGCTACTCGAATCAGACCACCGAAATGCAACACGTCATAATGTCATCATTACCACAAAGCATTGCGAGAAATCGCAAATAGATATTAGGTCTCGAAATGAAAAACGTGATGTGCCACGAGTGAAAATCTTGTTTGGAAGAAATGTTTGTATTACAGCATTTTTTCAACGCAATACTTTCTTTCGGCCGTCGTCCCGAATTGCCCTTTTCACAGATTAGTGAAACGGTGCCGATTGATACAGAACATATTTACCTTCGATGGTAAAAATATCTCCATCGGCGTGCCGGATGACCGATAATTCCTGACAGCGAACGACGACTTGCAGGAGGTTGAAGCTCGTGAGAACGAGGGCTAGAGAACGCATTTTCCCCACAGCATTCTGCAATACATAAATAGATGTAGGTCGTAAATAATCGAAGGGAATCCGAGAGAAGCGGTAGTTTTATGCGTTTCGTTAACCGCGCGCCAAACAAGCGCACTCGTTCGGCGTGGCCGATAAGTCATTGAAAATCCCGTGAATTAACGGCCGCTTAATTCCGCGACATTACACAAGAGACTTCCGGCAGATATCCATTTATGGCATATCTTATCCGTCCCTCGGTCTTCGTTAAACATTGCATCTGTATGCGCTTGTCAAAGGAATATTAGCATATACGCGCGTCATTTATCACACACAGAAAAGCATTACTATATTATTAGTACATTATTATTAGATATATATATAAATTTAGAGATACACGTAAAGCCAACGTAATATCCCTTAAAAAGCCACGCTTTTGCTACGATAATAAATTAATTCTCTCCACACGCGGTAGATATACCAGACTTTTTGTATGTTTGCTTTGTAGGATCGCTCACGTATCTTATAAGTACGAGTAGATGCTGAAGATTGAAAAGATACGGATGCTAATTCAGTCATTAAAGTAATCATCCTAAATTTACTAGTATACAACCGGTTGGCGAGTGTTATGATTACGTTAAATGAAATCGCAATTAACCCTAACCCTGGACCTCTCGGTATACCGAAAGGTTCGGTATATCGGTAATCTCCGATGTTTTCCTCGCGTTTTTTACATTTCATAATCGGTACTATCGGCGTGATTTGCGAGAAATTTACGAGACACAAATCGTCCTTTCCTTCTTCCGAGAGCCATTTAGTTGCCCGATTAATCGCCGGGAGTTTCATACCGGTTATCGATTTATCGGGAACACTCAAGCATGGTGACTATACCGAGTTTTTTTTTTAATTTCCGTCAAATTGTGTTAATCGCAGGAATGAATCACAATTAAGTATAAATAAATCGAGATTGATTATAATCTCGCTTTTCGAGTGATAAATCGCCGTTCGATAATCACACCTCGTTCGCCGAATAATTTCATCAGTCTTCGACGACAGGCGCAACCGTAATTTCGGAAGTCCTGCCGCAGGAATCGTAGCGATAAAAAGACGGATGCCGCATATTTCTGATCGAAAAAAATCAAGTGGCGAGACGAAGCGATCGTTATTTATTAATCAAAAGCTCGTTATTGACATGCCGTCCGAGCTCTTACTTAAAATTAATTAGATATTTGGCATCCATTTAATTTCGCAGTTTGTCACAAGCACGGTCCGTGTTCTTAAGCATAAATCTTTTATGCAAATCATGCTAAAGAGGTGTGACAGCGTAGATACATAATCTCATAAAATTTCGTTACGTATCTGTCGGATTTTACGCAACGTCGCTTTATCAGAATTCAATAAGCCCGCAAACGGAACGGGAGACAGAATTTTTTGCCTCATATAAATTGTACGCATCGGCCGTTTTGTCTCTAAGAAATTTAATAAGCGTTGCAAATGACTAGTTATTTATCCGTGTATAATCATCCTCTCGTAATAACCTTCTCGCTAAAGGAATCTCTGTGGCAGGTGTTGGAAATTGCGCTATCGCGATTATATTAATCGGTCGATGAGTTGCATTCGAAGTCTGATTATTGAATCTTAGCGCGCGTAGGCTATAAACGCTGTCAAGCGCGCGGTAATTATACAGTGCGCGTTCACCGCGAAATCGTGTTAATAATTATTTACGACGAGACCGTCTCTGAGACGCATCTCTCACGTTGCACTTGCAACCGGACTACACTTTGATTAAATTCCCTCCCCTATACGCGCTCGTCTTGTAATTACCTCGACGTACGCTTGAAAGCTTCTCAGTCGTCGAAAAAGGTGATGAAGGTAGCCGAGAGAAAGTGACGCTATATACCTTTTCGTCAGAGAGATAACAAGCCACGCTATACATGTAAGGATATCATTTGGGCAGATGTTCAAACGAGATGAGCCAATAAAATATCTCAAGGGAGCGCGATAAAAGTGCGCCTGTTGAAGAGAATTAAGAATTCACGATGTGATCAAGTGCCTCTATAAAAGCGGCCTATCTCGTCACTAAATTCAGTTACTGGAAGGAAAACAGCGTTCGCATTAGCGTTTCTTGGAAACTTGGTTCGACGCAAACGAACGACACGTCTCTCTCTTTCTCTTTCTTTCTCCCACGATTTTCTCGGAATCGAACAAATGCGTTAGAGGGACACTTGAAGAAGAGAATTCGACGGATTTTTCGTGATCGCGTTGATAAAGCCGGCTGCCGACCAACGAACCGCGCGGCGGTTAATAAATATAAATCTCTTTTACGAATGATCGTAAATGCCAATGCGCTTCTTAATTATGCGTGACTCGTCAATAGTGATGTCACTTTGGAAATCGTACGCACAGCTAAAGTAAACACGGATTCTGCTATCATCGTTTTATAATGAGATGCTAGTATCTTATTTTGTTGAGTGCCGAATTTATTGCCGATACCGTATAGCATGTCGAAATGTTCACGCTGAATCTAATAAGAAGCGTTAGCTTGGCCGTCGTTTTAATTAAAACTCTTTATCAATCTATTTATCGCCAAATTATTACTCCGTTATCGTCTCATAAATGTCAACTTGGCTGTAGCTTATTTACGCTCCAATTTTATAAGAAATTAAATTATGTTATCTTTCAAAAAATATTTAATAAACGTTTCAATATCGAAAATTAATTACGCGCGCAGTTATAAACAAATCTGCAAATGTAGATAATATTCTATAAAATATATATAAAATTGTATTTTGAAGAATATATAACCCTCTATAGGGTAACTGGGGGGAATATGCCAGTGTAGGGAATATGCCACTCGTTATGTTTTAACAAAGCTACGGCTAGGAGCGTTGTTGTAAATACTGTGAAATTGTTAAAAATATTATATCTGACGTTTTGCCCAAGTTTTACTTACTTCCTGTCAGTATTATAGTTTTTATGGGGTAAGTACAGTATGACAAGTATGACAACGTGCTTTTTAGAATTTTCTTAGTGTTTTATCGAAATTGTAATAAAAATTCTTTTACATGTTTTTATACAAGAATGCCCTTCTAAAGTTAAATTACTATACATGTTTGTGTACATGTGGCATGTTACCCCCACATGGGGGTAATGTGCCACTTTTGCAACACTTTTGTATTTCTTTCTTTTTAATAGTAAAGAATCAAAATATTTCATTAAAACCATATATAAATAACAGATAAAAGAAAGAAAAAGAAGACCAGTATGCAAAGATACCTCAAAAAGAAAGAAAAATAGAACAAAAAATCATATTTTTCTTAAGTATGGCATATTCCCCCGAGTTACCCTAATCGAATTTTTTGCTAATGAAAAAAATACAATAATTGAAAAACATTGATTAAATCATTGATACTTAAAAAATATAAGTATATAAATCTTCCAAGTTACAGAAGGTTAGTAATCTATGTGCGACGTGACCGATCGCAAGGAGTCGGAGGGTGCGATCGTGCCGGAAGATCGACGTAGCAGGAAGTGTAACGCAACCACCGTACTCCTTTATAATCCGCCGGCACCTGCACCGCCAGATGCACATCCGATTTTGTCCGGCGTTCCGCGCACGTTGCGGAACGCGGCGCACGTGTTATCTTACGCGTGCCATCGGCCCGATTGTGCATAACGTTTCAGCCTCTCTGCCCGCCGGTGTTTCTTGCTCTATTGGCCCAATCGCACGTGCCGACGACGGTGCAATTTATATCGTTGCGCGCGCGAGACATAACGACGTTCCTAAGCTCGCATTATGCCCGGCGAAGATCTAACCTGCGCGATATAATGCCTGCGGTCGCGCCGAACGGTGTCTTTACCGGACACCACGTGAGCTATCCTGAATTTCTTTTGCCCGCTCGCGCGCAAAGTATCCCCGCTGCGTGATATCGGGACCACGTTTCCTTCCATTTTTTTATCAGTCGGCGCACGGTGTGTCGCGGTACGTCGCGTCTCGTAGCACTAATCTACCGAGACGACATCGGACAGAACTAGGAATTGCAGCATTCACGTAAAAAAGTTCGCAAGCCAGATGGAAGGTGTAACGATATCCGACAACATTATAATAACTTGATTATATTTATACAAACAAAAAAAGACGAAATATGCTTATAATATTGTAGAACGTCACATTATTCGGGGTGTTATTCCGTCTCTGATGTAAAATGCTGTACTTTTCGAAGAACCGAGACTTTACTGTTTCGTTTTTAACTAGGGAGTGTTAAGTTTAACGACAAATCGTTCGTTTTGTTCGTACTTATAGGTATAAAGTAATAAAGATAGAAACGTGTGAAAAGCATTCTCTTATCGGGGTAACTAATGTTACGGCTCAAACTGCGCTCGAAAGTTACAAATGAAGATGTTCCTCGCTCGATGTGCCGTGCAATTCGGCCAATTCGCGCACGTACATATCTTCAATGACAAATTATAGTGATTTAGATAGTGCGAACATGCGAACGCGTGTCCGCGTGTGTCACGCATGCATGAGAATTATTTCGTAACAGGGCCAACAGTCACGGTCAAAGAACAGAACGAAATAATGGTAGAAAGCAATGATTTCTAAAACGATGACATCAATCGAAGAAGTTGTTTTCTCATCGATTTGGAAATTTCCTGCAAGGAAATTTCCAAAATGAACCGTCGATGATTCGTCGAAGTTTATTATGCGTGGACAGAATGTGTTTAAATCAGCAATTTATTGCCAATTCGGACTGATTGTTATCTGAAGCGTAGGATCACAAACTAATACATGTAATCTACGATAATCGAATACGAGGAAAACACTGAGGCGAAGTTCGATAAACACGTCATTACACGTTGCGTAAAGAAATAATTAATTCAGGAATTTAACTACGTACGTTCAAAAAACTTCAAAAAACGTTAGGCGATTACTAAAGCAACAAGGCAAAAATTAAAACTGCTTCCGTACAGAAGCATGGATATTTGTACTTTATATGCGATAAGACATCGGCATCCCGCAGAGAACATGAATGTAGTTT